TGACTCATAGCGACCCCTCCTTGGGTTTCCGAGGCAGTATCACTACGGAAGTAGATTGCCCCATCTTCCTTCCGAGGAGTAGCTGGTAGGTTTGAACCACCAGCCTTCTGGTTAGCAGTCAAGTGCCTTAGGCACTATGCTACCTGAAAGACCAGATCTCTCTATATCCAGTTAAGGATTTCACAATTAAATCTTAATAGCCTGTCATCTTCCCAGTTTTAGAATCCTAGGATTGTTTGAAGGTAGTCATAGCATATAAAATACATGCTTCTCCTTGAACTAAAATAAATTGGTATTTCTGACTTTTAAGCTATTACTTTCAGTTAAATTTACTACCTGACTTGATAATCATAAAATCTGTCAGTTTACTCAAATAATCCCCTCTACAGTAAAGGATTTGAAATCTTACAAGTTAAAGTGGCCTCAGACATAACTGGTGATCCTGAGAATGGCATAGGACTGTGCAACATTTCATTCTGTTGTATGTAAGTTCTCCATGAAAACCAGCTTGACGGCATCTAACAACAAAAGTTAAAGGAAAGGATTTGAAACCAATTGGTACTGTCATCAGCTGTCCCTTTCAGGGGGCAAATTAATATAGTTTGTTACTGAGATGAAACTAGATAATTGGTTGATCTTCCCTAGACTGGGAACAAAACTCACATTTTATTATATAGTTTTTATTAATTTTTACATCAAGAGAAAAAATATCAAAATAGAATCTTAGAATCCTTGGTGGTGGTGTTAGGTGCTGTCGAGTTGGCTTCAACTCATAGTGACCTTATGTACAACAGAATGAAACACTGCTCAGTCTTATGCCAGCCTCACAGTCCTTCCTATACATGAACCCAACATTGCAGCTACTGTGTCAATCCATCTCATTGAGGGCCTTCCCCAATTTCATTGACCCTCCACCTCAGCAAGCATGATACCTTCTCCAGGGAATGGTCCCATCTAACAACATGACCAAAGAAGGTAAGATGAAGTCTAGCCATTCTTGCCTCCAAGGAACATTATGGCTGTACTTCTTCCAGGACAAACTTGTTAGTTCTTCCATGGTATTTTCAGTATTCTTCACCAGCACAACTCTAAAAGCATCAGCTCTTCTTTAAGTCTTCCTTATTCATTGTCCAGCTTTCACATGCATATGAGGCATTTGAAAATACCATGGCTTGAGTTAGACATACCTTAGTCTTCAAAAAGACATCTTTGCTCTTCAGCACTTAAAAGAGGTCTTTTGCAGCAGATTTACCCAGGGCAATAGGTCCTCTGATTTCTTGACTGCAGCTTCCATTGGTGTTGATCATGGAACCAAGTAATACGAAATCTTTGATAACTTTAATCTTTTCTCCATTTATTGTGATGCTACTTATTGGTCCAGTTGTGAGGATTTTTGTTTTCTTTATGTTGAGATGTCATCCACACTGCAGACCATAGTCTTTAATCTTCATCAGTAAGTGCTTCAAGTCTTCTTCATTTTCAGCATGGAAAGATGTGTCATTTGCATATTGCAGGTTGTTAATGATTTTCCTCCAATCCTGATGCCATGCTTTGCTTCATATAGTCCAGCTTCTTAGATTATTTGCTCAGTATACATATTGAATAAGTATGGTGAAAGGATAGAACCCTGACTCAGTCCCTTCCTGATTTTAAACCATGCAGTATCCACTTGTTCTGTTTGAACAACAGCCTCATCTATATAGACGTTGCTCATGAGCATAATTAAATGTACTGGAGTACCCATTCTTTTCAGTTATCCATAATTTGTTATGCTCTTCACAGTCGAATGCTTTTGCATAGTCAATAAAACAAAAGTAAACAACTTTCTGATATTCTTTAGTTTCAGCCAAGATCCATCTGACATCAACAATGATATTCCTCGTTCCACATCTTCCTCTGAATCTAGGTTGCATTTCTGGAAGTTTCTGTCAGTATACTGCTGCAACCATTTTTGAATTATCTTCAGCAAGATTTTACTTGTGTGTGATATTTAATGATACTGTTTGATTACTTCCACATTTGGTGGGATTACCTTTCCTTGGAATGGGTACAAATATGGATCTCTTCCAGTCAGTTGGTCAGGTAGTTGTCTTTTAGATTTCTTGCGTAGATGAGTGAGTGCCTCCAGTGCAACATCCATTTGTTGAAGCATCTCAGTGGGTATTCCTTCACTTCCTGGAGCCTTGTCTTTCGCCACTTCCTCCAGTGCAGCTTTGCCTTGTTCCTTCGATACACTTGGTTCTTGATCATATGCCACCTCTTGAAATGGATGAACATTAACCAATTCTTTTTGGTACAGTGACTCTGTATTCCTATCTTCTTCTTTTTTTTTTAAATGCATTTTATTGAAATGTAATTTATTTACAGTGAAATACACGAAGTGAAATGACTCAATGTTTTATTTTTGCAATGTTCCCTCCCCTCACCTGTAACCAACAAACAGAGTTTCCTTCCATATATAAATGTTTCCTTGACAAATATATAACACTATATTTGTCCTTCTGTGGTTGACTTAATTCATTCAGCATAATGTCCCCCAAGTTCATCCATGTTATGTGATGTTTTGCAGAGTCTACATTGTTCTTTAGTATTGCATAGTATTCCATTGTGTGTATGTACCGTAGTTTGGTTATCCATTCTTCTATTGATGGTCACCTAGGTTGTTTCCATCTTTTTGCTATTGTAAATAGTGCTGTGATGAACATGATTGTGCATACATCTGTTCTTGTCCTGGCTTTCACTTCTTAAGGATATATACCTAGTAATGAGATTACTGGGTCAAATGGTATTTCTAATTCCAACTTTTTAAGGAATTGCCATACTGTTTTCCACAGTGGTTGTATCATTTGACAATCTCACCAGCAGTGTATCAGAGTCCCAATCTCTCCACGTCCTCATCAGCATTTGTTATTTTCTGTCTTGTTGAACTTTGCCATTAGTGCTAGGGTGAGATGGTATCTCATTGTTGTTTTGATTTACATCTCTCTGATGGCTGATGATGAGCATTTCTTCATGTATTTGCTGCCCACCTGAATAACCTCTTTGGTAAAGAGTCTATTCATGTCTTCTGCCCATTTTAAAATTGGATTGTTAATTTTTTTGTTACTGAGGTATTGGAGTTTTCTATAAATTTTAGAGATAAGTACCTTGTCATATCTAATTATCAACAAGTATGCATTTGTTGTCATTTTGTTACTTGGTTTTTCATGGTGTTGATTTTTTTGTTCCATATACTTTTCTGTGCTGAGCTCACTTCCTTCATTGCCGTTGTTTTAGTACTTGCTAAGTACTTGTGCTGGTCCTCTTTTTTATTTTGATGTGAAGGTTTATCATTTTTCTTCGAGGTTACCCTGTGATTTATCATTTTCTTCCCAAGTTTAGAACAGTCCATTCTATCTTGTACTTGTCTTGACTTCCCTACCATTTAGTTCCGCAACTACACAGTTTTTTCCCTCTTTTTGGTTTATAGTTGTCCTCATTTGTCAATTGAGATCTTTGGTTTCCTAGATTATTACAATCTTGTAGGCTTATTTACTTTGGATATTTCTATAACGGTTGGTTTCTGGGTTATGTCATCATGTGTGTTAATGGTTGGTTGTTGTTTGCTATTGTTGGTTCTCTGTCCAAGGACTCCCTTTAGCATCTCTTGTAAGGTTGGTCTGGTTTTAACAAATTCTCTTAATTTCTGCTTATCTGGATGTTCTAATTTCACCATCATATTTGAGGGACAATTTTGCTGGGTATATAATTCTTGGTTGGAGATTTTTCTCTTTCAGGGTTTTAGATATGCCATCCCATGGGAGCTCAGGTGGCGTAGCACCTAAGGCATTTGACTGCTAACCAGAAGGCTGGTGGTTCAAACCCACTAGCCACTCCTCAGAAGAAAGACTGTGCAATCTACTTCCATAGTGATACTGCCTTGGAAACCCAAGGAGGGGTCACTATGAGTTGGATCCAACTCAACGGCAGTGGGTTAGTTGGTTGGTGTCTTCTCTTCTGCATGGTTTCTGCCAAGAAATCCGAGCTTAGTCTCATTGGTTGCCCCTTGTAGGTAACTTTGCATTTTTTCCCGTGCTGCTTTCAGGATTCTTTTGTTGTCTTTGGTTTTGATGAGTTTGATGATGATATGTCTTGATGATTTTCTTTTGGGGTCTGTCCTGTTTGGAGTTCGTTGGGTTTTTTTGAATGGATATATTCTCATCTTTCATCATACCAGGAAAATTCTCTTACAACAAATCTTCGACAATTTTCTCTGAGGTTTTATTTGTCTCTTCCTATTCTGGGATTTCAATTACATGTAGGTTATTCTTTTTGATGGGATCCCACACGAACCTCAGGCTTTCTTCATTTTGTTTTGATCTTTTTTCTAATTGATTGCTTTCCAAAGAAGTATTGAGGTATTTGCCTTCCATTGATTTAGTTCTACGCTCTTTTGCCACTCAATGTGTTACCTATTTCTGAAAATTTTGTATTGATCTTCTGGATTTCTGTCTGTAGATTTTTTATCATTTCTAATTTTTCATTTATTTTGTCATTTTGTTTTTATATTGTCTTTCAGAGTTGTTTTAGGGTTTTATCTGTGTTTTCCTCAATTTTGTCAGTATTTTCCTTGATCTGTCTCTCAGTCCATTGAAGGTACCTAAATATAATTCTTCTGAATTCCTTATTAGTGAGTTCCAGTGCTGCGTCTTCCTCAGGGATGTGTTTTGGGTCTGTATCCTGGTCCCTTGTTTCTCCTGCTTTATCTTGCTTTTTTGTGTGGACTGTGATGGTCTATTGTCTCCAAGGCATTGTGAAATGTTTGTATTTATATTTAATTGGTGGTTGTATGTTGGAGTGACCTGCTCACCATTTTCATTTTCTTTGCTTTGTTTGTGTGTTATCTACATAAGCAGGGTACTGTGCTGGGCTCTTCTGTTCGCTACTCGGCAGCACTTAACACACTTACCACTTGTCTCCTTTTCTGTTGTCAGCCTCCTGTGTGTATGTCCCTGCCATCTTTAGCAAACAGAGCCTATTCTTAGGTCCTGTTTTCCTTCAGGTTTTTCCTCTAGTTAATGTCTAATCCATTTCTGTATACTTCCTTTCAAAGCTCAGGGCTCCAGGATTATTTTCTGTATCTCTGTCAATTGGTTCCTCTTTTCTGTTGAAGAGGGTCTTTGTAGCTTGTCTGCCTATTCCGCCATCTTACCAGAAGTCCTCCCTTCTATCTTCTTTTGATGTCTCCTGCAGTATTCAATATTTTGCCCATACAATCTTTCAATATTGCAACTTGAGGCTTAAATTTTTTTCTCAGTTCTTTCAGCTTGAAAAATGCCAAGCATGTTCTTCCCTTTTGGTTTTCTAACTCCAGGTCTTTGCACATTTCTTTATAGTAATTGGCTTTGTCTATTCAAGCTGTTCTTTGAAATCTTCTGTTCAGCTCTTTTATCTTGTCATTTCTTCCATATGCTTTAGCTATTCTCCATCCAAGGGCAAGTTTCAGAGTTTCTTCTGACATCCATTTTGGTCTCTTCTTCCTTTCCTGTATTTTTAATGTCCTTTTGCTTTCTTTGTGGGTATCATCCCACAGTTTGTCTGGTTTTTGGTCATTGGTGTTCAAGGCATCAAATCTGTTTTTAGTTGAACTCTAAATTCAGGAGGGATATAATCAAGGCCATATTTTGGCTCTCGAGAACTTGTTTTACCTGTCTTCAGCTTCAACTTGTACTTGCATATGAGCAGTTGGTCTGTTCCATAGACAGCTGCTGGGGTGGTTTTGGCTGAAGATAATTGATCTTATCCATCACCTCTTTTCACAAATGTAGTTAGTCTGATTCCTGTGTACTCCATCTGGTGAAGGACACATGTATACCCACTGTTTACATTGTTGAAAAAAAGGTATTTGTAATGAATAAGTTGTTGCTCTTGTAAAATTCTATTGTGCTATCTCCAGCATCATTTCTATCAACAAGGCCATATTTTCCAACTACTGGTCATTCTTCTTGGTTTCCAACTTTTGCATTTCAATCACTAGTAATAATCAACACATAATGATTGTGTATTTGGTCAATTTCAGACTATATAAGTTGGTAAAAATCTTCAGTTTCCTGGTCTTTGGCTTTGGTGGTTGATGCATATATTTGAATAATAGAAATTTTAACTAGTCTTCCTTGTAGGTGTATGGATATTATCTTGTCACTGACAGCATTGTACTTCAGAATAGATCTTGAAACATTCTCTGCAACGATGAATGCCATGCCATTCCTCTTCAATTTGTCATTCCCAGCATAGTGGATCATATGGTTGTCTGATTCAGAATGACCAAAAACAGTGCGTTTTAGCTCAGTAATGTTTAGAATATCAATCTTTATGTGTTCCGTTTCATTTTTGACAACTTCCAGTTTTCCTAGATTCATACTTTATACATTCCATGTTCCAGTTATTAATGGATGTATGCAGCTGTTTCTTCTCATTTTGTGTCTTGCCATATCAGCAAATGCAAGTCCCAAAAGCTTTACTCCATCCAATTATTAAGGTTGACTCTACTCTGAGGAAGTAGCTTTTCCCCAGTCGTATTTTGAATGCCTTCTGACCTGAGGGGCTCATCTTCCAGCACTATATCAGGCAGTGTTTCAGGGCTATTCATAAAGTTTTCCAGTAATGTATGAGACAGTATTTCACTGCTATTCATAAGGTTTTCACTGGCCAATTTCTGTGAGAAGATGGCCCCTTCCTTCTTCTAAGTCTGTTTTAGTCTGGAAGCTCTGAAACCTGTCCACCATCGGTGACCCTACTGCTATTTGAAATACTGGCAGCATAGCCTAGAGCCTCACAGCAACACGTGTGCAAGCCACCACAGTATGACAAACTGACAGAGAAGTGGTGGGAATCTTTGGTACTCAGGCTAAAATAATCACGGGTAATATTAGGTGGTTTCTAAAATAATTTGGATAATCATCTTTTCCATTAGTTTTTGCTTTTGAAGCAATGTGAATATAGAGGGTTATGAAACATTTTTTAATAATCATACCAAAACTAAAGTTAATAGTACTTAAAATTATTATGTAATTTATTAATTAAAACAATGCATGTAAAATGCCTAGCATAGATTCTGGCCCATAGTAGCTAACATTTATTATTTACCCTTATATGCCTCCATATAAAAATTTCCCCTTTCAGGTTATTATCTCTTACATCTTTTAGCTCTGGTAGCATAGTACCTAAGGCACTTGACTGCTGACCAGAAGGCTGGTGGTTCAAATCCACCAGCCACTCCTCAGAAGGAAGATTGGGCAATCTACTCCCGTAGTGATACTGCCTCGGCAACCCAAGGAGGGGTCGCTATGAGTCGGGTCTGACTCGACGGCACATAACAACAACAACACATCTTTTCTAAACATTTTTGAAATTTAAAATTGTCTTGAGCTCCTAAGGCATATTCTGTTAAATGTCCTTAATTGTAAGGTGAATTTATATTGTAGAAACACTGAAAAGTCTGAGTTTGTCTAATAGGTAAAAAGCTTAGTAATTACCATTTTTGTCCTCTTTGGGCCAGTTGAGTACAGACTCCAAGGAAGGATGCTTAAATTTTCAGCTAAGCAGAATGCTGTTCAGATAGGTCTTGTGCTTTGGAAAGACACACCACAAAACTAGAAAAGCCAAACCCAGTGTGGCTGAGTTGATTCTGATTCACAGCAACCCCTATAGGGTTTCCAAGGCTATAAATCTTTATGGAAGTAGATCATCTTTCTCCTGCAGAGAAGCTGGGGAGTTTGAACCAACACTTCTTGTTAGCAGCCAAATGCCTTACCCAGTGTGCCACCAGAGCTGCTTCATATCACAAAAAAAAAACCAAACGCACTGCCATTGAATCAATTCCAACTCATAGCAACCCCCTTTGGGTTTCCGAGGCAGCAAATCTATAAGGAAGTAGATTGTCCCATCTTCCTTCCACATGGTGGCTGGTGGGTTTGAACCGCCAGCCTTCTAGTTAACAGTCAAATGCACCACCAGAGCTCCTTTTCATATCACAAAGGAGGTTATATGTATCCAAGTCTTGAAGAAAAAAGTAGGAATTTGCTAGGCCTAGAAGGAGAGGGAAAGGGAATTTTAGCAAAATAATATGCTGTAAAAGACTTCTTTAAAGTTTGGGGACTAAAGTGCACCTGATGCTAGCTGTGGTATTTTCAGTCACCTCATGTGCCCGTGAGAGCTGGACAGTTAATAAGGAAAACCGAAGAATTGATGCATTTGAATTATGGTGTAGGCAAAGAATTGAATATACCATGGACTGCCAGAAGAATGAGCAAATCTGTCTTAAAATGAGTACATCTAGAATGCTTCTTAGCATTGAGGAGGGTGAGACTTGGTCTCACATATTTTGGACACGTTATCAGGAGCAACCAGTCATGCTTGATAAAGTACAGGGTCAATGAAAAAGAGGAAGACCCTCAATGAGATGGATTGACACAGTGGCTGCAACAGTAGACTCAGACAGTGATTTGTGAGGATGGAGTACAATGGGCAGTGTTACATTCCTTAAAAGCATCCCTTTTTTGGCAGTTTTTTCTGACCTCTTGGCCTACTGATTAAAACTTGGACTTATGATATAACAGACCTTTTACTGTCTCTCAAATATAAAGCCCTTTATAGTTTGCCCAAAGTTAGCTTTCAAGACACTTTTTAACTGCATTTCCTTATGTGTATCCTCACTGAATTGGTCTCTCTTCTGAATATATAGACCTTTTATGACTATACCTTTGTTCCTGATAAAACCCACTGCCATCAAGTCTGTTCTAACTCAGCAACCCCCATTGTCTTTCCAAGGCTGTAAATCTTTACAGAACTAGATTGACTCATCTTCCTCCTATGGAGCAGCTGGTGGGTTTGAACCATCAGCTTTGTGGTTAGCATCCAAATGCCTTACCCACTATACCACCAAAGGTCCTTCAAAAATGCCCCCTTTCCTAGCAAATTGCTACTAATTCTTCAAAATATACTAAGTCTTTCATGAAACTTCCTGCTTCTTGGAGGCTCTTAACAGAGTTGCATATCTTTTAATAGAGATTGTATGGTATTTTCTCTTCTTTTTTACTAACCTAAGAATCTACAAATGTTTTTTCTGTGAAGAGACAAATACTAAATGCAGGTCATGCAGTCTGTGTCACAACTGCTCAACTTTACCATTATGGGGTGAAAGCAGCCATAGACAATGTATAAGGGAGTGGGTGTGGTTTGTGTTCCAGTGAAAGTTTGTGAAGATAGTCTGCCAACCCCTGCATTAAATTACTGTGATCGAGTGTTTTGCACAAGGTTTGTTCATCAAAGATGTTTATATGTTCATCCATGCAAATGACCTCAGAGTCTAGGAAATGAACATAAGAATAAAAAATGCACCACAAAGGTATGTGCTAAAATGAAAAGAAGAAAGAATGGCATTAGAGTCATCAGCAGGTTTTTGTTAACAGTAAGAGAAAAGTAGAGTTAGAAAGTAAACAGGTTTTGGACCCAGCTCTAGCTTGAGGATAAAAGACTCTTACTAGCTGTGCTTACATTTTAGTGTTGTTGCTAAATAGGGTAACTTTTAGAGATTTCCATTCCCCCTTACGTGTGACACTCTTGAATTGTGGCGTTCATCAGAAAGAATTCCAAGTAATTTGTTTGTTTTTTGGTGGTGGTGGTTTTAATATTTGTGTTTTGTGTCCCTTTTCAGGTGCTCTGTAACAGAGCCAGACTTGTTTCCTACCTCCCAGGATTTTGCTCCTTAGTTAAAAGAGTTGTCAATCCCAAAGCCTTTTCAACTGCAGGATCTTCGGGTTCCGATGAGTCTCATGTAGCTACTGCACCTCCAGATGTATGTAAGTAAAGGTATTGTTGCTTAACCTTTAATTATTTTAAAATATTTTTAATTACGTTTCCCGTGATCATACTTCTTGGAGTTTTACAGATTTTTTTAAGTTGTATTTGTTCCATTGAAGATAAAAATTTCAATCTTTAAACATGAACAGTAACAGTAGTACTCTCTGAAACAAATTTCCTTCATATGCTATTAAACTATGTTACTACTTCTTGCTCTAAAATCTGTTAATCACCTCACTTCCTGATAAACCTTGGTTTTCTCTCTTTAGTTCAACAACAGTTCCCAAACTGTCTTCAAGCTACTATTGACCACTGTTCAGTGTTGGGTTGTTTTGTTTTGTTTTAAGTTCAGTGGTGGTTAAGATAAGAGTGGTAAATGCTACGTGCCATCGTGGAGGTTTATATACACACTTTTAATGGCTCTTAAAAGCTTAACCTAGTATGTCTGAAAGGTATTGTACATGGAATTTTTTTTCTTGGAACATTATTTACTATGTAATGTAAGTTCACTTGGACATAAAAGGCTTTTATTTTTCCCTAGTTTTCTTTTTATAGCTCCATCTCTACTCCCCAATTTATACCATTTGAAAGCTAACTATATGTATATCTTAAATGACAAGATTGTCATCCAGAATATATAAAGGACTGTTTTCCTGGCTGTATAAAGAATTTTTATACATCAGAAGGAAACAGCAGAAAGGAAAAAAAAAAGGGGGGGGGATATGAATAGGTTTTTCTCACAGAAAAATCTAAATGACCTGTAAACATGAAAATATAAAATCCATAATTAATATGGATATTTATTTCACTGAAGACGTAACTGAAGAATACCAAACCAAAAGCAAACCCACTGCCCTCAAGTCACTTCCCACTCATAGTGACCCTTACTGGGTTTCCGAAGCTGTAAATCTTCACAGAAAGAAATTGCCTTATCTGCCTCTTGCAGAGCAGCTGGTGATTTTGAACCACCAACCTTCTGGTTAGCATCCACATGCCTTACCCACTACACTGTGAGAGCTCCTTAACTGAAGAATGCTAGCCCTGAATAGTCTAAAATTGATCTTGTTTAAAATTAACAAGTTTTAGCCTATGAACTTGACAGATGTTGACACAGTGTGGAGAATGTAAGCAGTGTCACTGATCCTTATGTCTAGAAACTGTTGAATGGGAGTAGGTTTTGTTGGGTATATTTGTACCAAAAATAAAATAGTAATTAAGAATGTATGATACATGGTTATGGGCAGTTTTTGCCTGGTTTGCATGTAACGTGCATGCAGTCCTTGCCGCTCCCCCCATTCCCAATCTCCACTACCTGAATTGAGGCTGACAATAGGATACTCAAGGATAGAGTAAAAAATGTCTATTTCATCAATAATTTAGGAATGTAAAATTAAAATAAAAGAAACATGCTTAATATATTCCTTTATGCCCACCTTAGATAGTTGCATCAAATGACTGCATCAAAATGCATTGTATCTAGTCTGAGACTTTTATTTTCCTGGTGAACAAATTATCAGAATTTACTTCACTTGATTGGAACCAACAACTGCTTGCTTTGATTTGTGCTTTAGAAATGGCATAAGACAATCAACCATAGATCAGAATCAACATTTGCCCAGGCATAAAGCTCAAAAGACAGGAAGGTATAGGAAAGAAGGACAGAAAAATGATAAACACAGAGAAAAAACAGGGAGAGTGCTGTCATATAGCAGGGATTACAATGAATGTCATAGAACAAAATGTATATGAATTGTTGAATAGAAAACCAGTTTGCTCTGTAAACTTTCACTTGAATCACAAGTTTCAAAAAAAAAAAAAAGAAAAAATGGCAGGAGACCAATTTTATATTCACACAATGAAGCAGATTTCTAATAATTTTTTGTTTTGTCTAAAGAAAATCTTACTATTCTTTAGGTCAGAAAACGTTATTGTATAAAGATCATTATTCTAGTCTGTCAGTGCTATTAAGGACTATAAAGGAGAAAGTGATTCAATTGGTTGTTCTTGTTCTTCAGGCTCTCGAACAGTATGGCCTGATGAAACTATGGGACCTTTTGGCCCTCAGGATCAGAGATTCCAGCTTCCTGGGAACATAGGCTTTGATTGTCACCTCAGTGGGACAGCTTCACAGAAAAAAAGTCAGGTTCATAAAACTTTGCCTGATGTTCTAGCAGAACCTTTATCAAGTGAAAGGCATGAGTTTGTGATGGCACAATATGTTAATGAATTTCAGGTAAACCATTTTATATCACTTAACTGTGTTTTCTAATTATTAAGGTTGTATTATTTTTGATTAATATGAGCACATTTTCATTTTTAAAAAATTGATTCTAGTATACACAACAATTTTTAAAACACTGACATTCTATAATGTTTGCTGTATCATTTTTTTTAATTCAAGTTTTAATCTCTTAAATCATTCTTAAAAACATACTTTTAATAACTGCATATTTCATAATAGATATTATAATTGTTCCTATATTGCTATAAATTTAGGATCTTTGTTTTTCACTTTTATAAGCAGTTATTTCTGTCTGGACCAAATTCTGATGAGCCATTTACAAGCTTAAGAAAATTAGGAGATTTTCAGAACTCAAACATAGTAAATTGAAAATTTTAGGAAGTTATAAATAACTTAATTGTTTTGAGTTTTATCTGCGTTTTTACATTAACATTGCATCATTACTCATTCGAGTGGAAAGCGAACATGCAGTTCAGGATTTCTGTCAAGCCCCTGACGCTTTTCATTTTTCACATTTCCACATGATTTCAAACTAAACTGAGTTTTTAAGGTCATATTATTACGAGCAATTATTATTATGGCTTATATGAGTGGCCTAACATGGGGACACTCTCGACCCTCCCTTCTTATCTTGAATAATTCCTTCGCAGTCTTGACTGCTTGTTCCTCTTCTGCCTACCAAGTAATCTCTGGCTTTTCTGAGTTCTGGTTCTTATTTCTGTCTTCTGGGTGAGCATCTTTAGTTGGATGTCTCACATGCTTCCAGATTGTTCATGTCTAATCCTGAAGTAGTTTCTTTCAAAACTTGCTATTACTCTCATATTACCAGCAATGTAGATGACTTAACTATATACCCACTGTACCAAGAAAAAAATTACAGGACTAAACCTGACTCATGCCATCATAAGTAGCAAGTGACCAAATCATACTGCTTCCATCTGAGAAATGGGGAAAAAAAACCACTGCCGTCAAGTCATTTCCAACTCATAGCAACCCTATAGGACAGAGTTGAAGTGTCACATAGGATTTCCAAAGCTGTAAATCTTTACGAAGCAGACTGCCCCATCTTCTCCCCCAGGGCAGCTGGTGAGTTCAAAACACCAACCTTTTCAGTTTGCAGCTGAGAGCACTTAAACTACTGTACCAGCAGAAGTCCTGTCTGTGCCCCTTCAGTACTAGCTGTGAGAGTTCAAGGCCTCTCTTAACTGAATTCTTAGAGATTCAAAGGTTGGTTATTCTGCCACTTCCATAATTTTGTGACCTTGAGAAAATTGTTTAACTTTCTGAACATTTGTTTTTATGTAAAAGTGGGACTGATAATCCCTAGTCTACACGGTTGCTTATGAAAGATCAGTAAATGATGACCGTTGTTATTGATCTGTCACATGCTTCTGATTCCCATACATCCTCCACACTAACACACACTTGGCTTTTGTTTCATATATCTGATCTTGGCTATTCCTCATTGCTTATAGACTAAAGTAAAAATGTAGCATAAATGACCGTTGACAATATTGATCTCTAATCTTTCCTATGTTATTTTCCAGTACTTTTTACTCACTCTGCACTGAAGCTACACATACTTCTTTAAATATACCATTCTCTTTCATTATCACATACTTTGTAATGAATGTGATAATCTCTTGCTAGACTGTTTTTCCTCCTGAGTTCCTAACCTGTATTTCACCTGTTACTTTCCTATTAAATACATGCATTAATGAAGATGTAGCTCAGATATCACCATTTCAATCTTTTCCTGATTGCTTCTGGCAAACCAAGTTTCTTCTCCATCTACATTCCCAGAAGACTTTCTTCATGACTGTATAGCACTTTGCCTATTTAATTACATTTATTTGTGCCTATTTTTCTTCCATTACTTGTGAGATCCTGAGAGTAAAGACTTAAAGAAAAACAAACAAACATTGTAGTGCCTGATGCATACTAGCTCTTGGCCTTTCCTGTAGGGAGAGATTAACATTCTTATGTTTCAATCAAAATGTCTTTAGAACTTTTAAATCTAATATTTATCACAAAATAATTTAAGTATATAAGAAAGCACTATAATTTAAGTTTTCCTTTCACCCCAACTGCAATTAGATTAAAATTACTTAAAAAAAAATTCTAAGGAAGATAAACTCATAATATGTAAGATACACTTTTATTTGAATTCCAGAGTTTATTTGCTTATATTTTTTTGTTACCCTTAGGGTAATGATGCACCTATTGAACAAGAAATTAATAGTGCAGAAACTTACTTTGAAAGTGCCAAAGTAGAGTGTGCAATCCAAACATGTCCAGAATTGCTGCGAAGAGGTATGTCATGTGTTATACATTGCAGTATTAATGTGTGTTAGATAATGTCTTTAATCTTTTAATGTGTTGAATAATATACATACTCTCTAGGCATTATGATGCTCTGTACTTTTTTTTTTCCCTTAAATTTTATTTATTTTGTGTTGTACTATGGGGAGAAACCCAGATTCAGTCATGATCAATAGAAATACTTTTATTAAGCCTTAAACAAGATAAAGACAATCATCCTGGATGAGCACATACACTGTCCTGAAAGCCAAATGGAGACCACTGAGTCACAGCCTTGGGACTAATTATATATGATTAAAAACAAAAGGAATCATCACAAAATCATGATTGGTGGCAGATCAGTTCATCACTGTTATAGGTAGGAACTATAAGGAGGCTACAAGATAATAGCAGTCCCCAGCCTTAATTAAGATTAGAAAATATCACATTCAGGCAAGTTCTCTAGTTCTTTGGTGGATCATAAGCTACTTTCATCCACACTCTTTCTGAGGGCAAACTGCCTTACAATGTTGGCTTACAGGTCAGAAAGAACTGAAATAGCATCTGAATTTAAAATGCAGTTAGGTCTCCCACTCTAGACCGCACCCTTCCACAAACCAAGTGCTTCAGAATTTAAGTAATATATTGTTGAGAATATACACTGCAAAACCTACACCAATTCAACCGTTTCTGGATGTACTTTTTAGTGACAGTGATTATATTCCAAGTTGTACAGTCATGCTCACCTGCCCTTTCTAAGTTGTTCCTCCTTCATTAACATAAATTCTATATCCCCTAAGATTCCTGTCTAATCTTTCAAGTTGGTGTTGTCAGTTTGGTACCATATAGATCTTAACATAATGCTGAAGGTAGACTTGTTTACTAACTAAACTATTCTCATTTGGTCCCTTATAGATAATTCTTAGAAGAGCATAATGCTCAAGGCAGAATTACTCAATTTTGAGAAACTTCAAGGAATATTTGTGGTTTAAAGTTTAAAGGTTATCTTAGGTCAGTAGTTTCAGGGGTTTATCCAATCTCTATGACCTCTAAAAATCTGTAGCCCATGAGAATTTACAATTCTATTCTGCATTTTCCCCCTTCTGATCAAGATTCTTCTGTAGAATCTTTGATCAGAATGTTCAATAATGGTGGCCAGGCACCATCCAGTTCTTCTGGTCTCATGACAAAGGAGGTAGTTGTTCATTGAGGGAATTAGCCACATATCCCATATCCTATTCCCGGCTCTTTTTTTTCCTTTGTTGCTCCAGGTGAATAGAGACCAATCGACATACCTTGAATGACTGCTTGCAAATTTTTAAGACCCCAAGCACTACCCAACAAAGTAGGCAATAGAAGCACTAGGCACATTTACTAGGGCGGTTAACTGGGACGTCCCATGAAACTATTACACTGAACCCAAAGCAGGGAACCAAATTCCATGAGGTATTTAGTTGTATTGTATATAAGCAGCCTCAGCAGCTTTTTTTCTTTCTTTTCTTTGTTGTAAACACATCTATCACACAGCTTTTGCCAATTCAACGTTTTACAGGTACACAACTTATGTACTATTGTACATACTTATGTATGTAACAACAACCCAGTACTGTTGTTAGCTGTGCAGCCCTACCCTAAATCGAGGTGGTATTTCCATCACCATTAACCCTCCTCCCCATGGTAACCCTGATAAACTTTGGCCTTTATACATTTCCCCTTTTTTGTCTTTTTACATTAAGTGAAGTCATGAAATATTTGCCCTTTAGTGATTGGCTTATTGCACTCGGCATTATGACTTCCAGCTCTATCAATATGTAGCAAGTATCAAAACTTCATTTTTCCCACTGGCTGAGTATTCCATTAGCTGTCAGAGAGATACAAATCAAAACCACAGTGAGATATCATTTCACTCCTGCTAAGATGCTCAGTATACTTTTAATATATTAGCTAGAAGTAATTGCATGGCCAAGATAAAGGCTTTTAAATGTCCCCTAGCATTTGACCTCATGCTTACCTTTGAGAGAGGAAGTAGAATTTTAATAACATCTTTTCCAAAGCTTAATGTAAATCATTTATGATCCTGGGCAATTATTTTAGACATTATTTCATGAGCTAATATGTAAAAATAGAAAAATCTTATTAATAAACTTTTTTTTGAAAATTAAGAGAGCACCACTAAAATGTAACCCTGTTTACTCTTCAGAATTGTTGGCTATAACATTTACGTTCATCTAACAATAGCAGAATTAAGTAAACCAAAACTAAGTTTATTATTGTTCCCCCTACTACTTTGGCGAGTAGCGACTGGGACCTTAAAAGCTAGGAAGCTGCCATCTAGATGCAACAATGGGTCTCTCCTCGTCAAGAAGAA